CAGAATCTGGAGGCAAGACTCCACAGACAATACCTGTAGCACACAGTATGCAAACATATGGTCTTTTCCTGGTCTCCCTTCTGGTGAGCCTATCCTCTTGTACAGCCGAACACTCAGTAGAAGCAACAGACATGAATATTGCACAGGTTAACATCCGTTCCATCAATACCTCCAGTACCCTGGTGGAACAAATGTGCACGAAGCAGAACATTGACATACTCTGCCTATCAGAAGTATGGAGCAAAACTGACAGGCCCCAATGCCTGAAAACATGGAATTGGATAATAAAAAACAGACAAAACAGAAGAGGAGGAGGCGTCGCTATAGTTACAAAGGATCACGTGAAAGTCATGGAGGAGAAGCTGAACGACACCACACATGCCGACATAGCTGCAGCAAACATATACACAGACGCAACAAGCTTCACTCTAGTATCAGCCTACGTACCACCTGAAGACAAAAAGGGCCTGGAAGAGGTGACTGACACACTGAAGAAACTGCTGCAGACTAACAGACCCCTGGTACTGTGCGGTGACCTTAACGCCCGCCATCCAGCATGGGGAGATGTAAAGGAAAACCAACTGGGACATCTGCTTAACAACTTCCTTGTAACAAATAACCTCCAAACAGCAAACAACAACAGACCAACAAGAGAAGATAGCATAATTGACCTGACAATTGTCAACAGACCAGCAGCTAACCTGATAGAAAGATGGGAGAGTCCAACCGGAGGTGCAGCTCAGGACAGACCATCACCTGATAACCATGCAGATAGGCGAGAAGAAACCTAACATCAAAGAAGAAAGATGGGACCTCAGAAACGTAGACTGGAAGAAATGGGAGGAGACAACGGATGAACACTTCTCAAAATGGCTCGAGGAAGAGGATGACAACGCAGAGTTAACAGACCACAATGTCACAGAGCTGTACAACAGCTTCAAGACCACTCTGAGCAAATGTGCCGATGAAGTACTAAAGAAGAAGACAGTGACTAGACACAGCAAAGGATACTGGAACAATGCACTCGAGGAACAAATGAAGATCACCAAAAGAGCCCTGAGAAAATTCCGCAGAAGAAGAGACAACTCCAACCTCAGCAAATATCTACACGAGAAGAAAATCCTCACACAGATGGAAGAAGAAGCACAAAGCAAACACTGGGACCAACAGCTTAAGAATTTGGATACGAGAAAACCTCAAACCTTCTGGAAGACAATCAAGAGCAATCTAAATGGAAAGTCCAGAAGCACTGTACAACCGATAAAAACACCTAATGGAACAGATGCGACCACTGATGCAGAGATTGCTAAAGTTGCGACCGAAACCTACGCCCCCAGTGAAGTTGAGCTAGATGGTGAACTCATACACTGGAAACAAGGAGTCACACATGCTGTTCAGGCTGCAATCAAGCACGAAACAGAGAGGCTGAACGATGACGCAGAACAGGAAGACCCCCTAAACTCAGACATTGAGCTAGCAGAGGTACAGGCAGCGATCAGCAAGATGAGCAACATTTCCGCCCCTAGCCCCAAAGAAGGCATACTACCAATCATGATCAAGAAAGGAGGTGAGAGCCTCACACATGCGCTCCTACTCTTACTGAAACAAGTGTGGAGACTGGGCTCAATTCCCAGACCGATGAAGCAAGACACTAAAATTCTCATCAGAAAACCAGGCAAGGAAAGCTACAACTTGATAAAATCGTACAGACCCATCACACTGTCAAGTGTGATCGGAAAAATCCTGGAAAGAGTGGTGAACGGACGTCTGACATGGTGGGCTGAAGTGAACAACCACCTAGCCCCCACACAGGAAGCCTACAGAAGACACAGAAGTGCCACACATGGGGTATTGAGACTAACACAAGACATCTCAGAAGGCTGGAAAGAGGACAAAACCACAGTCGTGGTCTTCATGGACTACGAAGCATGCTTTGACCGCATCTGGCAGGAGGGCCTGCTCTACAAGCTGATGCAAAGAGGGATCAGAGGAAGAATGTTGACCTACCTGCACTCCTTCTTGAAGAACAGAGAAGCCTCCTTCAACATCAACTCAATCACCACAGAACCTCAGCTCAGCAACGTTGGCATCCCTCAAGGCGCTGTTCTGTCCACTACCCTGTGCAACCTGTACACTGCGGATGCCTATGTAAACACCACCCTTGACAACTACCAATATGCCGATGACGCTGCAGCCTGGAAAGCCGGAAAAGACGTCCAAACTGTGAGGAACAGCGTAGAAAGTGACATAACAAATGTCATCCTCAAATGGTGTCCAACCTGGAACATGAAAATTGAGCAGTCCAAGACCAAAGCAATGATATTCTCGCCACCGCACGCCAACAACACAGTCGAGAAAGACCTGACAGTAGACAACAAAGCTATACAAGTCGTCACCTCCTTCAAACTCGTGGGAATCACACTGGACCAACAGCTAAACTTCGAGAAACACATCAGCAACACTCAGACGAAAGCATACAAGGCGCTTAAGGCAATCAGCAAGATCACACAAGCAAAAAAGTCACCCAACCAAGAGGCCCACATCCTCCTGTACACAACCCTGATTCGTCCCATGCTTGACTACGGAGCAGAATGCGTAGTTTCGGCCGGAAACAAGGTGGAGAAGACATACTCACCCATCCAAAGACAGGCACTCCTCGCTGCCACAGGGTGCCTGGAGAGAACTAGCACAGAGGCTCTCGAAGCCATCACAGGAGTACTACCAATTGATATACACCTCACATGCAGACAGGCTCAAACTTACCTAAGGCTGACAACGAAACACACGGGAAACGCTATCTACGACACCATCTCCCACATGAGCACACGGAAGTCAAACACTCAAACTGGCACCCCAATCCACCTGCTGCAAACCAGATTCAATGAAATGAAGGGCGACATTGATGAACACATGATGGACAAGGAACCGTACTATGATGCAAGACTCCCTCCCTTCGCTATTGGCTCCATCACAGGCACATTCGTAACTGAAACCAACACTACAGAGGGAAAGGACAAGGCAAGAAGCAAGATCCTAGACATCCTGACAGAAATAACCAGCAGCACTACACCTACCACCGTAATATTCACAGATGGCTCTGCCCTTGGTAACCCAGGCCCCACTGGGTGTGCCGCAGTCATCTATGAAAGATGGGGTCACACAGAACCGTTCGCAGTTCGCAAAGCTGTCGCCGCTAAGTCCAACAACTACGAGGGGGAACTGGAGGGACTTCATCTGGCCATAGACACCATCACCCGCAGACAAACTACAAGCAAGAGAGTACTCATCCTGTGTGACTGCAAAGCGGCAATCGAGAACGTCATAGGAGTACAGCAGGTGGAAGCCTACAACGCCCTGGTCCACACCATCAGAAACAAACTACAAGCACTCCGACAGCAAGGTATCTCCACACAAATCACATGGTGCCCAGGGCACATGGGAATCTCTGGTAATGAAATCGCAGATAACGAAGCTAAACTTGCAGCCAACGAGGCATCAACCAACCCCCAAAACAGCACATCCTGGACCAAACATCAAGCCATGAAACACATTGAAACAAAAGCACACGAGAGATGGGATAGAAGAACAGAACTCAACACGACAAGTCAACACATGCTGAAGATAGGAACGTACATGAAGAAGAAAGGCAGAGCACTTGGTAGAAGAAGCACACAAGTCACCATCAACCAGCTGGTGAGCGGGCACACCAGACTCAATGCGTACCAGAACTGGAAAAACCCTGAAGTCTCACCATACTGCCCAAACTGCGACGCTCTGGAGACCACCAACCACTACCTGTACCACTGCCCCCGCTATGAGAACGAAAGGCATCACATGCTGATGGAAGCAGACAACATTCACGAGACCTACAACACAGCAAAGGAAGACAGAGACACGGACATCGTCACACTGGCCGGAATGAGAGTAGGACTTCCTGAAGGAGCTAACAACCAGATGTACCTAGCCCTCTCCCGGTACATCGAGAGTACGCGCCGATTTGACGTGCTCTCCTAGAAACACTCTCCGCTTCACACAAGCACGAGTCACCAAGTGTTAATACCTAGAGAGATCATTGACTCTGAACGGAACCAAGTGAAAAACTGAGCACCTAGAGACCACGTCTAGCGACATAATAGACGTTAAACAAGGACAACAACAACAACAACAACAAACATACAGACAAATGAGTTCAACTGATAAAGATGCTGACAGAAAATCTTTCGTTTACGGTGTATTTTGAGGAAGTTTGCATTTAGGAATTTGTTCCAAGTGGTTTGGAATTTCACCTTATCTGTGTTATAATTTATGCAAATCCATAGCGATTTGAAAGGAATGTAGTTTGGAGGTATTCTAACAAAACCTGACAGAAAAGTACTACTTTACACGCTCATATACTCGGTAAAAAGGTAATTTCGGCATCATGTCTTGAGCAAGGACAAAAATCGTCTGATTTTGCACTCGACACTCAAAACAGCTGGAGTTGGTCATTTCGACCCACAAAAGAACGATTATGTTGAGCCATTCGATCCTACAAACACTTACCTGGTTTTCTCTGATTCGGTCGCAACCTAATGGGGCAGAAAAATGCCATCTGGCCCACAAAATACGCTCCAAAACCCCGCGAATCCGCACGAAAACGCACAACTTCCTCTGCCCACCAAAATTTGAATTTGATTGCCTAACCCCTGACCTCTCGCCTGCTGACGACGGACTTCTCGCGAGAGTTGGCGCTCACGTGACTCCTAACGTGACTTCCCGGTTCCCACCCTTCCCCTTCCTGATTTTTGCAGCAAGTTTTTACTCGGAATTTTGTTTTCACGTTTGTGATAGTTTAGGACGATCCAGAGACGCGATGGCGGGAAGGCTACCTGCTGTTGTCATTGACAACGGAACGGGGTAAGTACCGTGGTTTTAGGGGGTGCAAGGATCGCAAAATGTGAGGCAAGGCGAGAGGGGGCGGCCGGAAGTACCTGTACCAAGGGGAGGGGGGTACAACACAAACTTTGCTGATTTTTGTCCTGTTTAATAGTTGTTACAAATCTCTGATTGTTTTTACGGATACTTACTCGAGGATCTGTTTCTTAGATTGTTCGTTCTGTATGTTAGCTCAAAGCTGAAGCAAAACATGAAACTTGAATCACGTTAAATCGTCTACCGTCCCGTGCTGAATTGCTGAACTAGTCTATGATTGATCCAGTTTTTCTAGGCCGGTCGATTTTTGTAGCAGGGGAAAAGTAGAGCACCTTAAACTGTATTAAAGATGTGCCATATAGATTAATTTACTAGGGTTGATTTCAGTTAAATGTAAAAGAACTCAAGAAAAATATCCGGGAAATTTAGGAAAACAAATATGGGAGCAAAGAATGAGGTCATTTCCTCTGAGCTGTTCAGCCGGTGATGTTTGATCATGTCAATCAAAGTTGGAGACTGACAGTGACAGACATTCCACCATCATAGTGGACAATCCAAAATTTACATATAAACCTTGGTTATATATTCATTGTTTAGCGTATGGTATTCATTTTGATCACAACACCACAAAATTTGTATCCTCCTCTGTTTGCTGAAAATAAAATGGTGTCTGTGCCACATGTCTAAAATAAATAAAAATCTAAATCATCGTCAAATCATAGACCTTGAATTAAAGAGAAAATTCACAGAAAGCAACTTGTATCATGTGTACAAATTATCCACACCACACAGCTCTAACTGCCTTGTTATAAAGATAATTACATTATGATGATGATGACATTATAGTAATATAGTACTTACATGTATATGAATGTACATAATGCTGTGATTTTTTACAGGTACACAAAAATGGGCTATGCCGGGAACACAGAGCCCCAGTTCATCATCCCCTCGGCTATCGCTATAAAGGAATCCTCCAAGATCGGAGACCAGTCTCAGCGCCGGGTAACCAAGGGCATCGAAGATCTGGACTTCTACATCGGAGACGAGGCACAAGAGTATCCTAACTACAGTGTAAAGGTTAGGCTTTTCACTTTCACTAGAATGTCTTAACTGCAGTGTAAAGGTTTAAGATATTATTCTTAAAGCTTTGAACTTTCATGAGAGCAAGGAGGTTAACTACATGTACAACCTCCTTGATGAGAGTATCAAAACTAAAGTGTAAAGATTCAAGGTAGGTATATAACTTTTAACATTTTAAAGTATCCAAACTACAGCGTATAGAGGTTAGAGGTGATTTCTCAACACTTTATACTTGATTTGTATACTGTAAGTTTCCTACGCTTACAGATTATGTACCCACATATTGAAGATGAAACCAACCATAGATTGATGATTTAATACTTGTATTATATAGTTGTATACTAGTAGTGGGCTATGGTTTGGCTGTAATTTTTCCCTCCCTTATGTCCACAGTGGCCGATCCGACATGGTATCATCGAGGACTGGGATCTGATGGAACGTTTCTACGAGCAGGCCATCTTCAAATACCTCAGGTCAGAACCAGAGGACCACTACTTCCTACTGGTGAGTAGAGAAACAAGCAAGCATGTTTACAGACAAAAGTGGAATATTTTTCTTGAAGGCTCTATAAGCAAGCTACCTTCCAGTAAGAGCAGACAGAGGATCAAAACTTCAGACAGAGGATCACTTCTTAGTAATGAGTAATAAAACAAATACTAGTAAACAGGTGTTTTCATGAAGTACCTAAGGTCAGAGCGAGAATTGTCATTTCTATTTGTTGCTTTTTTTATCTCAAAGAAGATGCTGTCGACCTTTTTAACGCTGAGGGAATATATTATATTTTCTGTGAAATATAAGAAGAATTGTTTACCTATTGTTAATTGTACATGTAGTATCATTGTACATTAGACTAAAAAACGGTTACTAGTACTCAAGCAACTGGATATGATTTTAGAACGCTTGAGTAACTGTTTTTTGCATATCTTATTATCTGGATGTCTAACCTTCACCGATGCATTTTACAGTAGATTTAGGGCATTCATGGTCTTATTTGTGTTAACTGACGTATGTTTACCATGTTTCCCCAGACGGAGCCCCCCCTGAACACCCCAGAGAACCGAGAGTACACGGCAGAGATCATGTTCGAGTCCTTCAACGTGCCGGGGCTGTACATCGCCGTGCAGGCCGTTCTCGCGCTCGCCGCGTCATGGACGTCACGGCAGGTCGGGGAGCGGACGCTCACGGGGACGGTCATCGACAGCGGGGACGGAGTCACCCACGTTATACCTGTGGTGAGTTCTGTCTGCTGATCATATACATCCAGTCACCCACGTTATGCCTATAGTATGTTTAACATTAAGACTTTTGTTCCAACACAAGGGATTGTTCTCACCTAACTAGACCTTTTGACCAGTCACTATGGTTTTCTTCAGCAGACTTACTCAGTGAGACTTGTCACATGGCTAATCTCTGAAGTGTGATGTCAACACTGGCACAATTCACACCTGTGGTACAATGTATGTTTGAAGTACAGATAAAAGCCCTTTTAGTGTGCAACAAAGAGCTCTAGACAGTGTGTATTACAATGTATGTAGAGTAGTAGTAACTAGTATAGCAGGTAGGTGACTTGTAAGGAGCAGTTGGTTCGGGTCTCAAAATTATATCCTACCTCTAACGCAGCAGCATTTATTGCCTTTCCTTTCCCCCTGCAGGCTGAAGGCTACGTGATTGGCTCCTGTATCAAACACATTCCCATCGCAGGACGAGACATCACCTACTTCATCCAGCAGCTGCTCAGGGACAGGGAGATCGGCATCCCGCCTGAACAGTCTCTGGAGACAGCCAAGGCTATCAAGGTTCGTTTCTTTGTTTGTTTGTCAATTTTATTCTCGCAAAAGTAATGCTATCTCTAAAACAGTATGCATGGGGAGAGAAGAAGCCTGAGTTTGCCCATGCTAGATCTGGGTTCAAATTCTTAGCAGTGCTCGTGGGAAAAGCACTCACACCTACATGTACATTGTATTTCCTCCCTCTACTCAAGTAAACTTGGGTAGCTACTGGTAGGTTTGGTTAGGGGTGTAAAACCAGAGGTCCTATGCTTGAGGAGAGACTGTAAGGTTTCATCCCAGTGTGAGTGGATAAAACCTTACAGTCTGGTCCCACACAGCTTGTTCTTGCTGTGCAAAACTGATGTGTAATGCTTAAATGAAGAAACAAAATCTAACTTCTGTTATTTAAAAAGAGTAAGGATGCATCAAAAACTTATCCATCTCCTTTGTGAGTGAATCAAACCACAGATCCCGGTCCTACGCAGCTTGTAGCTACTGGTGTTTACCAGTGTAATGCGAAACAAACAAACATGCGAAAACGTCTGCCCCCCTTCCCCCTTCAGGAGAGGTACTGCTACATGTGCCCGGACATTGTGAAGGAGTTTAACAAGTACGACACGGACCCGGCCAAGTGGATCAAGACGTACGAGAGCGTCAACGCCGTCACCAAGAAAAACTTCAAGGTGGACGTCGGCTACGAGCGCTTCCTCGGGCCAGAGATCTTCTTCCACCCAGAGGTGAGCTAGTTTTCTGTTTTAAATACATGTAGTTTGAGAAGTAGAAGAAGGAAGGAAGTTTGAGATTTGCTATGGTACATGTATTACCAGGATAACTCATAACGTCCTTTAGTGTTCCTTACAAAAAAGAGAATATTCCAGTATTTATTTATGTCAGAATTAGTGCAGCTCTTTGTATTTCAGAAACCATCTAAAATCTATGTTGTTTGCATGTTTCTGTCTTTTTATGCATAATGATAAAAATAGACAAGTACGCTATATTGGCTATGTAGGTCTAAGAACAAGTCTAAAATTGATAACATCTTTCTCTTGATTTTCTAAATTGTAAAGAGATCTCTAGATATAATAATCATTATGCCAACCCTAAATCTTCATAATGCTATACAATGTATTAGGTGCCACTGAAATCCAGGGTTCTAGCTAGGATTTAATTTTAGCGTAGTGGTACTGGCCGCATGTCAAGGGAGCAAAGCGACAGAGAGGGGGGATGGGGCGGAGCTTTTAAAAAATTGAGCTAAAAAGGGGGCCATTTGAGGGATACCCAAAGGGAAAAAATGTTATTTCTAAGGTATGTGCAATGTATCCTTGATTGGTAATTTTTCACACTTGATCTGGCAATCTTGAACAAAGAAATACAGTCACAATGCCCCTATGCCTTATTGAAAATTTAGCGTAGGGGGTGAAAATTATAGCGTAGGGGACCCCTATGCTACTTCGCGCTAGCTAGAACCCTGAAATCTAAGCTAATTGAACAGATTTTATGTTTCTGTTCCAGTTCTCCAACCCAGACTTCACCACCCCCATCTCAGAGACGGTCGACAACGTGATCCAGAACTGTCCCATCGACGTGCGGAGACCGCTCTACCAGGTAAGGACATCTGTACCAGGGCTCCAAATTATACTTTTTTTTTGCCTACCTTGACCGGTTCAAATAATATTGAAAATTGCATCACTCAAAGCTATGAAGTATGGACAGCATAAAAAACTGTTCAGTAACCATTGCCGTTATTTCTTCTATACTTCAAATCCACATACACATACTGTATATATAAACCTAGTACATGCATGGACCACTGCATGCTCGGTGCTGGGAAAATACCTGCACAGCTCCGATTTTACCTGCACTAACCTGCATATACAGGTGGGATTTCCAGTCCTACATGTACATACATGTATGTGGGGCTGAAAACTCAATAGTAGGGAGTGGTGTACTGGTGCATGTAACCTTTACCCTGTGACCTGACCTTTACTAACGACCTTTCCCCCTTTAGAACGTGGTTCTGTCTATCCTATGACCTATGCCCTGACTTTTACTAATGACCTTCCCCCACTGTAGAACGTGGTTCTGTCTAACCTATGCCCTGTGACCTGACCTGTTTACTAATGACCTTTCCCCCCTGTAGAACGTGGTTCTGTCTGGCGGCTCCACGATGTTCCGTGACTTCGGGCGTCGGCTGCAGAGGGACCTGAAGCGGCAGGTGGACGCCAGGCTCAAGATGAGCGAGGAACTCAGCCAGGGCAGGATAAAGGTCAGATAAAAACTTAGTCACTTAGACATAGACATCATCAATTGTATAATATCCATACTGAAAACCTTCCTCTTTTTTGGTTCCTTGAAGAAGGAATGCACAGTATTTAAGACTCTGAAATACATGATAATATATTGTGTAAATATCAAAAAGTTCTCTTCAATACTACAGACACCAAGACCTCCTTCCTGTCAGCTTGAATATTAGAACTGCAATATGCTGTGTTGAATTTAGGCATGTTCCAGTGTATACCAAACTTGTCATGTAGCCATGGATACCAACAGTTGCCATAGATACTGATTTCTCCCTGTTCCCTGTCCAGCCCAAGCCCATCGAGGTCCAGGTGATCACCCACCACATGCAGCGCTATGCCGTGTGGTTCGGGGGCAGCATGCTGGCTTCTACTGTAAGTACATATCTGATACATCTATAACGTTACATACTTGTGTTTTATCTCTATAACTCTATAATCTTATAGTATAATATTCACATCAATGGTTAAAGACTTCCTTTTCAAGATTGGCAGAAATACAAATGCAGTATGCCAGCCTTCCCTGAAAAAGAAGCAATTCTGTTCAAATAGTCCAAAATTAAAAGCCAAGTACATGTACTTTTTATGACAAAAACAACTACCCACTACTATCAAGCCATTTGAGGTGTCTGAAGCCTTCAGAAAAGGTTCCAAGTTTGGGGTATAAAAACAATATTTTGGCATGTTGAGGTGTTGCTTGAATGAAGCACTTCAGTTGCAAGAAGGGTAAAGGAAGCTGTTGTACATGTATGATATTTTAAGCATTGTACACTTTTAACCCTCCACAGCCTGAGTTCTACCAGGTCTGCCACACCAAGTCACTAACACTTCTGTTAACCCTCCACAGCCTGAGTTCTACCAGGTCTGCCACAACAAGTCACTAACACTTCTGTTAACCCTCCACAGCCCGAGTTCTACCAGGTCTGCCACACCAAGTCACTAACACTTCTGTTAACCCTCCACAGCCTGAGTTCTACCAGGTCTGCCACACCAAGAAGGATTACGAGGAGTACGGTCCCTCCATCTGCCGACACAACCCTGTCTTCGGCGCCATGACATGAGCTGTCAATCATCACCATAGCAACTAGGTAGCCGCGGAGGAATGTTCCCAGGATTCCATGCGATCAAGACGACAACTTTTTGTACTGGAAGCAAAATAAGCAGATCTGGTTCTGATGAGTAAAAAAGCAATGTATACCTTGTGTAGGGTTAGGCAGGGCACAGGAGACAGTTTCTGTTATCTACAAAACTTTACATTTTACCTAGAATTTGGTACAATTAAGAGCAAGGACAAGAGATTATTCCAAAATGAATGACACTGATAGTAAATTGTTATGCGATCAATTTTGTCAACAGAACATTTCTTAAAAACCTTAGTAAGATACTTTTGTCCAGTCCCACTCTGGTGCAGGCATCTACATAGTATTACCAGTTTCTGAAGGCTTGTCTTTGTTCTTTTATGGAAGGGTTGGCTCTTTACCTGCAGTAAAAGCTCCATCCTGCCTATTTCAGGTTGAAGTTGGTATTTCTTGCCCTGGTAGTGTAGCTTTGGGGTCTAAGAACCAGTCAGATTAGCAAAGAAACTTGGAAAATACAGTCTTTGTACCATGATTGCTGGTGGTAGAAATGTGAATTGACATGGGCCCTTGTAACAATTTATACTTCATCTGAATGAAAATCACAAGAGAAAATTTGGTATGCATTCTGTAAATTTTGGTAAAGGAAAAAGTGACTGAATTGCCAAAGGTGACACAGAGTCGGTGTGTGTTTCTCATCAAATCTCTCTGCAAAGACCTATAATATTGAATTTTACCATGATTATTCTATACTTATATGAATAGTTAGCAGAAAAGGAAGACCACATTTAAACTGCAGTGATTCTACTTGCATAATTACAAAGCATGATGGATATGTGTATCCATCAGGTATAAAGTAACTGATAAAAGGAAGGTGGGTTTTGGGTAACCGCTGAATATAGTAGCATATTTATCCATGAGAATTGATTTAATAGTTATGAGAAAATGCATCATTTTGTATGAAGAAGTGGCATTCAACTATCATAAGTAGTAAGAGATGTATTGACTGAATACTGAATAAAACCAGTGAAAAGTCCTCTTTTTATGTCCTTGTTTGTGTTTGTGTTTAGTCCTGTTTGAAAATATTTAGTGAATCGATGTGGCCGTTAGTCTAGGCCACCAATATGTGCTGTAACAATCACAAACCACTTCTGCCTAACTTGGCAGTCTTCGACTTGCAAATGTACATTTATTTCATCATTTTTGTACAATCCTACAAATAGCTCACATGGAATCATCATCATCAAATCAGTACTCAGTTCTCTGACACTTCTATATGACCAAGTCCTTACATTTTAAGAATTACACGTTGTCTGCTGCAAGCTTCATTACAACAAACATGTATAAGCAAAACAACTAAATCTATGAAACTTCAATACATGTGTATAATTACATCATTTTTCTGGCTTAGAAATGGACCAAAAAGGATCACAAGGTGCATAAGGTTGTGGTGCAAACAAAAAGGGTTACAGTTTCCATAATTCTTTTGTCATTTCTTTCTTTAGGACATTTTTTCAGGTTTTTATTTCCATCAACCACACCCTGTGATCCCACTTGGTCAGCCCCAGGCCATTTTTTTTCTTTTCTAAACGTAACACAATCATAACTTTGTGCTCTTGTACAAAATCTGCCTTTCTGGTCACCAGGAATGCAGAATGACTTTCAGATAAATTCAACATGGTCAGTACTACAGGCTGGAATATAACATTTGTACAATACAGGCAGATAGAACATTGCAATGTGATGTGTACATCATGTACACATCTAGACATTAATCAATTACCTGGTTTTCTTGGTCTTTTGCTAATAATAGCATACAAGTATTAATATACTTTAAGATGCTTGCATGCTGAAGCTTGTTTCAGTCCAGTCACTTTTCTTGTTAGTAATCTTCTTGTTAATATTGTTCTGTAACTGAGCAGATACAAAAACAAGTTAGTTAGTTAAAGAGTTATCAAAAAAGGAAGAACCAAATGAAGAGCTTCAATCCTGTTGCCATGGTATTTTGCATTCTTTTTTGAAATGCATGTTCTTTACTGGATATTCTATATCTGTGTAATGATCATAATGAAAACATGTAACAAACATTGAATACAACTTGTACATCTGTTTTTAATTTTGGCAAATTATAACATGGAATTCAACAGAATCACACATTTTATAAGCATTTTAATCGACATCTTCTTTTTACAATATACAAATTTCTATCTTCTCAAGTAATCAACATGAAATCTTCTTTTTCACAAAACATGGACCATCATTTTCTTCAATAGAATTAACAAACAAAAATGTTGACTAAGTATCTGCTGCTTTAGCCCTATACATCTCCAGCTACAGCTCATACAACTACATGTATGACTTACCATCTATATGTTTCATCATCCAAGCCATGTTTCATAACTGTCGAACGCTATGCTGGCTTACTAGTAATTAGTAATTAATATTTCTTAGTAATTAATATGTTGCAATATTGTCATGAGGCACACTGTTAGACTTAGAATAGCTGATATCCCACAATACATTGGTTAACACTTGGCTCTTCTATAATAGAGGCTCTCTAAAATCATGTTGCCTCCTTTGATCAAATTTTGTTCCACAGTTCTTACATTTGTCCTTTGAATTCTGGTCACTTAATGTAATCACAGCTATTAACACGGATAAGCCCTCAAATACAGATACTCATGAAGTTGCCTTTTATGAACTTTATAAATGAACTAACACATTGTGAAACTTAATACAAAACGACGTTGTAACAAATGTCTATTTTAACCATTGAATTTCTTTGACTTCCACTATGCTGAGCTCTAATACAGTATTCCCTATTCAGTCTGTTTATGATTTTCTCTGGGGTTTTATGAAAAAAAAGGTTCACAGTACATTAAAGCTTTTATTCATATCGCAATGGAACATACTTTAGGAGTAAACTTGTTACTTCTCTGTTCCCCATAAGAACAGCCATTGCACTACAGGTATTGCAGGGACTTGGCAAAGAAAGCGGCAATGTTCTCTGAGTCTGTCAAAGCCATAGAAAGCATTTTACCTACTTTTCTTTGTATCAGTTTTATGATTTTAGTACTTTATGTTGTTATGTTATTGGTAAGCCTACAAATTAGTGCTCACATGCATGTTTCAAAGCTCTGGTAGCATCCATTGCTTATTCTCAGTTGCTCTTTGATACACATATGGCACATACCTCAGAGCACTGTTTACTGACATTGTTAATAATAGTATTATAATACTATTAATAGTATTATGCATCTATGACCATGCACTGGGCTGTTAACTTTTATTCATGTCTCTGTGATATCATTGAAGTCAAAGTTTGGACACGAGCTAAATGTATGTCCATGATAAAACAAAAGGCATGATATATAATGCATTGGATATTTGAGCAGCCTACAAAAACACAGTCGATGCTACTACGATGATCATTGTTCGGTTGTTTCCACTTTTTCCTCAGGAATGCCTAATGGAGGCTACAGTTTAATCACTGTCACTACTGAAGGCCAACAAATAAAGGAAACTTGAATAATGACAACTTCATGTGAAGAAAAAGTTCATTTTCACAGTAACCTAGCCAGAAAACATCTAATACGTCATCTTCATCAGGCTTCTCCACAGGGAAGGTTTAAAATGTACATGTCTGCCTGCAGTCATTACACAGGGGTTGTTGCCATAGCTACATCTATGTTGCCATGGCTACCAGTGTTGCCATGGTTGCCAGATCCCCATGGTTACCAGGAGATCACCATGGTTACTGGTCCATTTGCCAAGGTTACTGGCATGTTGCCATGGCTGCTGCTTGGTTGCCATGACTACTGGCATGTTGCCATAGTTGCTGCTACATCATGTTGCCATGGTAACTGGCCATCGCCGTGGTTACTCGCCCTGGAGGTCCTCGTCCCGCACCATGGGGGGCGGTTTGTCGGGCATGGCGGCGCTGGTCCCGGCCGTCAGGTACCCGGCAACACTCGGGCCAGCTACGGGACAGAGGCAACTGGTCAATGCAAATCATGTACATAGTCAGTGATAAATGTATATCCTGTACTGACATGTGGACAGACTTTGGGTCAAATGCAACACTTAAGAACCCTTTCAAATGTTGTTTCCAATTTGAAGGCCCCTTTATGCCATATCTCACAAAAGAAAACCAGGAAATGTATTGTAAAGGTTTTGAATGATACTGTTAACACACCCTGAAGCTGTACAATCATACATTCATCATTTTGAAACATTTATGCCAAAAATTTTCATTGATGGAGGAAACTGTGGTCTGAAACAAGGAGAGTAGATACTGAAGTTTATAGTTAATCCAAACCATCAATGTTGAGGCATTCTCTACTAAGTTTAACCAATGAGTTCCTTGGCTTAACCTAGAGTATACTATGGTTTATTTTAACCAACACATTTTGCTTCATGCAATCATGTACTTCAGCAATGCAAGCAAACTTGATCACACTTACATGTATAGCACTGTACCATTCTTTAGCAAGCACAACACATGCTGTCATGCAACAGTAGCAAGTAGAGCAAGCTATAATATTATAGTCTGCATGCACATTTGTGAATAACTGGCATTAAAAGCAACATGGCATCCTTTTATCAAGTGTCAAAGCAGCACACCAAGCATAACCACCACATACACAGTTCACCTAATAGTCAAACACTTACACAATGTCATGCACATACATGTACTACTAGGTATCATGCACAATTCACTTCGAGCAAAAATTAGTAACTTTATTAAATCATGGTCCTTTTTTAAATTAATGAACCATTTGTAGTTTAAAAGAAGTTCAGAAGAGTTGAACCAGGAACAGTTTTAGCCAGGTTTAGGAAAGACTGTAAGTTTTTTGGACATCAAACACATGTAGACATTTAGCAGGGGTTAAAATCACAGTAAGACAGCAGGTTGACAAGCTGTTAACATGAATACTGCATTGAATACAGGATCACAGGACTTAGAAACAGCCAGGAACAGTTTGCACATCGATCAGAGACAGTACTGGGTTTCAGGTTTAAACAAGAGCAACACAGAAACATTTAACCAACAGTGTTAGTAAGAGTAGGTTTTGTAGTATTAAACCAAAAGGAGTGGAATATGTTACGTTTTTGACCACATTCATAACATATACAGAATGTTTAATCCAAAAAACAGTCTTTGCAGAACAAAAAGTGAACATGACCCTGGCCTACCTATGATAGGGCATACCTGGAATTCTACACTCTATTGAACCTTACCCTGCTGCTGACTTATGAACCCTGACAGATCCATGCAGGTCTCCAACTAAAACAGCCACTGCAAAGACATGCACCTTACCCTTTCCACCCTAACCTTTACCCTTCTAGCTGTGACTACTAGACCCTGACTCAGGCCTTGGCACATGCATGTATCCCAGCATGCAATGGCATGTATCCCACCATGCATTGCAGGACAAAATGGAGGCCCCTCCCTACCTTTAGAGGACGTGACTTGTTCTTTCTCACCACCTAAGTTGAAGGTCAGGGACAGAGGTCATATTAGGCAAATACAGGTTTTACATTAAACACGATTAAGTCTGTTCTTGACCTTTGTTTGGGCTCAAATAGAATGGTGCAAGGTGAGATGAAGCTCATTGCGGTTAAAACAGGTGAGAAAAAGGGTCAATCAATTCTTCTAGTCTTCTCGGGACATAAAAAAATTAAAAACATTCCCCGTCAAACATTTTACTTCCAGACTGGTTTCAAAAGATTTTAGAACAACCAAACAAATGAACAAAGAAATACACATATAACGTAACGGTTACAGTTGTAACACCAAAATCTGCAGCTACAAAAACCTTCAGACGAGGTTAAACTTTCCACTTCATGAAAACCTGAGATACTCAAATTAGTATCACTTGAAAAAGGAGACAAACAAATAAAAGGTAAAACTACAAAAATCCTCAAAAGAGACTTCCACCTAAACAAATATACATTCAAGTTAACCTGGTACATTATTAGGTGTAAACTTCTGATGACAAAATGTAACGGAAGGCAAAGGTTTGTGCAAAGCAGTACATGAAGCCAATCAGACCTGTCTATAGTGGCCACTCAATGGACTAAACAAAACAGTCACAGTAGACTGGTGGTCATTATAGACAGGACTCTTGATAATGTTTGGGTCAACAGGAAAAATGATCTCACAAGGCACCACCAAAAAGGAGTCACACCGGGTACATGGTCCTTAATATACAGAGTTGGTCACTAGTACATACAGGATTGACAGTAACAACAAGAGGTGCATTGTACATATAGATGGGGAAGACAGAAAAAAGTAATCATTGTATGTATGTACAAGAAGGAAGGACTTTGTGTCTTGTACTTTTTGTCTACATTTCTTGAAGGTTCAACGTGATTCCCTTCCCAATGTGTCCAGTAAGAAAACAGGTAGAAAAATCCTCTCATAAAAAACCAATAGGTAAGGAGGCTAAGACAGGGAGGGAATACAGATTCTGTATCAGTTTGGTATGAAGTGTTTCAATTTCACAGGGATGGATGTTAGTTACATGGCTATGTTCTTGTGTGGAGAGCTTATTCCAAAACTACCCATGGTGCATGTACAAACTGTACACCCAAGTCCCTACAATATCCCCCACACATACATGTACAGTACACACCTGTGAGGTATCCAGCTGTGGCCGTCTGTGAGATGAACAGGTCGTGTTTCTGGTCTCTGTATGACGTCCAGACGGTCGACTTGTCAAGGACACTTTGCACCTGCAGCGGAGGAAGTAAGAGAGAACTTGGACTTGAAACTTTTGTGCCATCTTGTGGAGTAATGTATATAGTAGAGGGGATTCATTCCTCAAGCTAACTGACATCTTGCACACACAGTCGTCCCTCAGTAAGACATCTGGAGCCGCATAGTTCCCGTTTAGAACTTTTATTCAACCTGTCACACTCATGTGGAGTAATGGTTAGGTTGTTTGGCCCAGGACCCAAATTGGGTTCAAAATTGTTTCCTTGGGAAAAGGCATGTAGCACAACTTTATTCACTCCACATAGTTGGAAATGAAGAGTTACTCTTCCACTGGCCGTGACAGAGAAGACAGATGCTATGTACTGGTTCATTGTTCTGGGAAAATTCTCATAGCTCTGCAATTTGTCAAGAATCATGTTGGGCAAACAGCAACAGCCAGGATTCAAACTCCCAACCTCTCGGTCCAGAAACAGGCCCTAACCATGAGCTGAAAGTCTGTAAAAAGTACATGATATTATGACCTTCTGGCACAAATTCAACATAAGAAATAAAACAAACTTGTCATTACCTGTTCCCCGTACTCCAAACTTCTTGTCATTGCCTTCAGGGACTTGACTATCTGGGCCTTGGTGCCTGCTGGGTTCTCCACCTGCTCAAGCCCGCCATCTAGCAGCCTCAACAGGTACTGCACCAGCTCTGCTTCAATAGCCTGGGAAACAAAAATTAGATATGAACAACAGTCTTGGTGCTGAATGCCATCACACTCACACAAATGGTCTATAGTATATTTTTCATAATTATGGGTTCACCACACCACGAAGTGGTGTGGTGAAACCATATTGCTTTTTCTGATGTTTCTTCTCCTCCTCCTCCTGCCATATCTTTAAATGGATTCAGCTTCTTCATTTTAGGGCCTAAGGTCCTGAAATTTGGTATGGAGGTACAGTGGGCAAATACCCCTAGGCGTTTTTTAAATTTTTGTGATACAGGCTTTTAGAATTGTTTTATTTGAGTTTTTTGGCTGTATTATAGCTAATGTATTACTGTGTTAGTGTGCCATGTTTACCACGTCTGGGCATGAGTCATCACAATGGAATGCAGGGCATCAACCAATAGGCATGCAGCTTTCCTCTATACTTCTTGCTGATTGGCTGTTGGAATTTAACTTGATTAACACCTGCACAGAGCATTTCCACCTGCACAGAGCATTTCTTGCTGATTGGCTGTTGGGATTTAACTTGATTAACACCTGCACAGAGTATTTCCATTACTGACAGTATGTCTTTATTCAAGTGTTTTGGTAGGTATTTCAAGCTTTTCTGCTCCAGCATTGGAATGCGGGCATGAACGTTTTTTTTTTTATTTAGTAAAATAACAGTTTGCATTATGCAATTAAAAATCCTAACCAATAAAGTAGGGAATAGCTATCCAACTGTTGTTTTAGTTGTATGTTACTTCATATTATAGTTATATCAATGTAAATCATTGTTTTCCCTTGTGTTTCTCATTCTTTCCCTGCCATGTGGTAAAATGTGGTGAACCCATCGCTGTATTTGCTCCAAAGCAAATATTGGCCTTTCTAGTTAAGCATGGTGTCTACAGGACATTTACTGAAACAAGATTGAGAATTGCTAGTAATAGGTTCAAGACACTTCACTATCTTCACAATGACACTGCCAACCCTGTCCTTGGTGCTGAATTACATTTGCACTTACTCAAAAGGTGAGGATACATACAGGATATGTTTTCACAATAAAGTAAGAGGACCTTTACTGAAACAGACTTCAGATGTGCACACTCACACCTTTTGTTTGGTTGAACCATTCTTTATTCACGAAACCTCAAATAAGCTTGCTAGCTGCTTTTCATTGAGGTCATGAGGGAGGAGGTAAGGGACAGACAAATTGACCATTTCCCTTGCTAGTGAGAACTTCAAGACATGCACTTCATTGTCTTGAGAAGGAAGTCGAGGACACTTCAGTGTCTTAAGACTGCCTTACCTGCTTGACTAGGTCCGTCTGGTCCTTCTCAAACATCCTGAAGAAGGTCTCGCAGGCGACACCGATCATGTCCGGCCGCGCTCGCATGGCCACCATCATGGGCCGGATACAGTCTGTCTGGGACATGGACGTCACACACAGCTATGGTGGGGAGAAATTATGGATTGGTCAGGCAATGTCATAGATAATGCGTTTGTAAACACTGTTATAGACATGGACCTTACACACATCTGTGGGGAGAAATCACAGATTGGTCAGGCATT